TAATGAACATATTTGATCATCTTTTTGTCCTTCCTTAGAAAGTCACACAAGAACTGTCCTGCTAATGTTTTTCAAAGTTTCTGTAATCTGCTGCTTCGCTCCAGGATCCAGAAAACTGCCTCCTGTCTGGGTCCACATGGCTATCTCCTTGGTGTCCCCTGGGCACTGCTTGGTGTCCTCGCTTGGTTGACATCTCACCACCTGCTCATGCTGAAGGTGCCTGCAAAGAAAGGCTCTGAGCACCTCTCGTCCAAAGTTTATGAGCTAGAAATGCGGCCAAATCCACTGTTTTAAAGAGATGTGATAATGGTAAGTGTAAGACTTATGAGCTAGAAACGCGGCCAAATCCACTGGTTTAAAGAGATGTGATAATGGTAAGTGTAAGAGGTACTGACCAGGCACAATGGGATGTCACCAAGAACTCAAACAACTCATGATTTAAAAAACCTAAGTCAATAATGCACCAGAGGTTACCTGGAGAGTCTAAGGTCCAAGCTCCACATCGAACCTAGAAATCCTGAACCGTAATCACAAGGCTTTTCTTGCCCCTCGTCTCCCACAAATAACATTGTGTGAAGGTTAAGTTTGTATTAAAATGGAGCTAAACTAAATGCAGATACAATGAAAGCTGACGCTAAACTATGCTCAAGCAGAATCCAACCCAAAGTGCTTTTCAATGCAGCAGAAACACGGGATAATCCGCTTATCAGTTGGAGTTGGAGGTCCTGTACGAGTCAGAACAGGATGCTCAATTCAAACGAGAGGATTTTCTCTCTGAATAAGAGGACACATATTGAATATGCAAATAGTTGAATGTTTATAAACGCATTGCTTACTGCAGTGTTTAAATGAGGCTGATTCCATCTTATATTTCTATAGTCCTGTTGGTCCTGAAGAATCACGAAGTACTTTACCAGCAACTACAAACACGTACTTTTTAAAAGCAATTTAAGAGTCATCAGATTATATCAACCACTGACATGATCAGCATCTCCATGTACAGTGATGGTGTAAAAATATTCAACTGCAATCTGAGATCAAATTACGAATTTTTCTATAAAAAGTGTTAAAGGCTTTTGCGTGCCATTGTATTTCTTCTGGTCTTATCTGTATGCTTTACTGCTTTCTACCTCCTGGAATTAAATACATCTCCATCAGGAGGCTGAATGTTCCAGTTAAAAGTTGCCACGATTTATACCAGTTCAGGTCGCCCCGAAGACTCCCATGGAGTTCCATTCTGGAACCCTTGAACGTTGATTTTTTAGTGTAAACACGGAAGGAAATGCAACGTTTGAGGCTACTGAGTCACTGGCATTCATGTCCAACACTGGGTGACTGTCACAAAAAGATATTTAGTGTCATCATTCTAAGAGAAAAAAAATGTACTTTAATGTTTTTCCCCATTCCCTCGCCCTAATATTCACTGACTTTGCAGGACTCTTCCTGCTGTTACAGTGCTCTGTGTAAATAAACCACAGGATCCCTTAAAACGTTGCACAATTAAATTAAATGTTGCGTACTTAAATTTATTGCGGTAACAAATGGTGCTCCTAGACATTAAACATTTGCTACATTGATGGAGATTAGCAGAGTTTATTAATCTTATAGAAGATTTGATTTAATAAACTTAACATAGGCTAAGATATGTGTGCACGTGAATGAAGAAATTGATGTCTGAAGAACTTCAGTTCTAAGAAAAACACTTAAAAAATTGAGTGCTTTAGAAATTAAGCAGGTAAAAAAAAAACAAGGAGTCAAAAAGGAAAAAGCTGTATATATTGTTATGTATTATTCTATGTATTGTGGTACTCTGAGTATAATAACATTCTTTGAGGAACTTTCTACGTAAAGTGCAGTTTTACTGTTTTTCCCTTGCAGCCAGGCTTTCCAAAGTCAGAGTACGATGTATTGGAGGTGGTAAAAAATTCTTGAAATGTATTTTTGAAATCTTTAGACCTTTGACCGTGTTTGCTGTGATGATACGAACTTAAACCATAAACCCACTTGGGAGACATTTTAATGGAACACTTTAAATGAAATCAATTGCTGGTTTCATAATGGCAGCTGAGCATGTGTTCTTGCCATTTGCCCATTTAACAAGAAGAAAAGGCCAAACAAGGACCAATTAGTCATAATAAAATCAGCTTTGATGACATTTTCGCTCCTGAACTGTGGTATAAAATGGTCATCTAAGGAAGAACTGAAAGGATGCGTGAGGAATTTGGTACTATAACTGCTTGTACGTAGATAGACACTCCTGAGTAAAAAATGATCAGGTGAAGACACAGCAGAGTACTTTGTATATGGAGAAAACATACTGTTTGTGTGTTTAGGTGTGTGCATGTGGTTTTGCTTGATCTTCTTTTCAGTTTTCACTGATCTCAGTTTTTCTTTGAAGCCCATGCAGGTTAAACTTCGCTTTCATTCTTTGGATCTCAGTGACATTTGTGTGCTTTGGTTACCCAGCCGTCCCCTCCGTGGTAAGTCGTGCTCCCTACTTATGAGAAGATCAGATGCTTCATTTCTTTTAAATAGCTATTTCGTTTGTTGTTGTTGTTGTTTGCTTGTTTCTTTGTTGTTGTTGTTGTTTTTTATAAAATGAAAGAAGTGTCTCGTATTAAAGTTGCTGGTTAAAGATTATTTCCTAGTTTTCCTGGAGTATAGCTCAATTTTTGCTTTAGTTACTAATAAAATACGCAAGCCTCTAAAACAACCATGTGAGAAATCTAGTGCATATTTAATGTAGAGCATGGAGAGCTTTTTCTGAAGTTGAAATATTGTATGGAAAAGTGAAAAACATCAATCTCTTCTCCTTTCCATCTAAATTCCTTGTCTATATCAAATAGGTACAATAAGATATATGTATTAATTTCACTTATCGCTAGCTAGTTTATAAACCTGTAACTTCATTCGTCACTGTTAGTGTGTAGGTAAAGGAGAAATTCTTACATAAAGTTATGGAAAATTATTGCATCGGATCAGTAATACAAATTTGATTGAACTATGAAAGAAAGTAGAGCAGCCTATAAAACCAAAGTGAACAGGTTACTTAAATAATACTAATATCCCTTCAGTTTCTGACCACGGCCAGATTACCGTGACAAATTGCTGGTCAAACTGTGCATACAGCATTTAAGACTTTGCCAACGTGGAATGAGATATTTTATTTCTAGTGATGTTCAATTTTCCAGCTTTGGACAAAGTCTTCTTTCGACTCTCTGTTTACTGCTGTAAAATCAGCTCTTGGAGCCATGGTTCAGATTTCTTTTGTTTCCTCTGATGTGTTTGGCATCATTATCTTTTCGTTAAGGTGATCTGTCTCCAGCAGAAATGGTGGCTACTTGTGTTTAGTTCATTGATGCAAAGTTCTCCTTAGCCTTAATCTGTCCATCGCCTGGTTCCTCTGTGTCTTTTACTTCTGTAAATGCTGAATCATCTTTTGTTTCTGATCACGGATAGTTCAGACGCAGCTTGATCTGACTAGCCACATTTCTTAAAAGGAATGATATAACAGGTAAAATGAGTTTAATTATTTCGAATAAATGAATACCCTGCATGTCAAAATCACATTTATTAAGTAGTATGAGTCCCTGTGTAGGTTGTGAGCTAAAAATTCAAAGGGGAGTTTCTCAGTGCCTATGGTTCTTGCAGAAAGTATTTCTTCTTGTTAGGGAGAAACTTCAGGCTGGGGAAAAATCCCAGTCAGTGGCAAAAAAAGGTCGCTGCCTGGTTTGGTTAACGAGCTGCCTGGTTTGGTTAACGAGCTCGGGGCACCTCGCTATGGTGAAAGATGCACAGAGCAACTAGAGACATGCCAGGAAACGTCTCGGTTTAAACTCAACGTCAATATAAATGCAATTAAAATTTGTGAAAGTTTTTTATGCAGTTTACATTTTTACACTATAAGGTGCAAGTAAAAGGAATGTGTACGTGAATTTATATGGATTGTAATCCAGACTTTTAAAAATTCTCATTAGTGTTTTGTCATTATTAAACTTAGTCGTAACTACGACCATAACTAGTCCTAACTACTAGAAAGCTTCCTCCTCCAAATTTCTGCTTTATTTTCATTTTCTCTTATCTGTCGTTTAAACTACCTGACTTCACAAAACTGATAACAAGATGGTGTTTCATTGTTAACTGAAAAAATCTCATTTTACAGTGATAAGCATGCATGCTACTCCAGGGAAACTCTGTTACATGTCACGACTGGTCAGCATCACAGAAAAGAATTCCTTTCATACTGTACACATAATTGTAACAGTATCAGTATTTTATACCAGAAATACCACAGTGAAGTTTTCTAGAAAACTACAAAAAATCTGGTTTTGAATATGATGAATCCTTAGCAAATAACTGTTCATCCTTGTCATTCTAAGCATAAATTGTTTTTGTGTTTCTCCTTTACTTTTTATACTGAACAAGTCCTGGCAAATATGCAAATCCATAATTTCTCCACTTTTTCTCTCTCTCTTTTTTTTTTTTTTTAAATCTTCAGAGCAGCAATCCTTTTTATTTGAATTGCCACCTGCATGGAAAATCTGATTACTGCCTCGCCCTGCTGAATAACTGCTTAGCCAAGGTGGGCAGGAATGAAGAACTGGCTTTCTTAAAACCTTACGTGGAGATGCCTTTCAATAAAAGGTCCTTTCGCAACGGCGTTGGATCAGGAGTTAAAAAAACTTCCTTTCGAAGAGCAAAGTCATAAACAAATGCTCGAAACCGCACTCGTGATTTTAGCCTCTGATGTGTAACTTTGCGCTTTAAATAATTTTAATGCTTTTCCAGGATAAAACCAACAGACGAATGTGCCCATGTCTTCATCATGGAAACAGATGTTTATTTCCAAGAGCACAAGCCAAGTGGAGCAGATGGGATTGCTCAGAAAGGGCTTTGTTTCCAAAGTTACAGTATCGTAAAGTTTTGTATCGAAATGAATGTTTTCATTTGCTTAATTCCCCTTCTTTGTAAAGCCACGGATTTAATCAGCTTGCTCTTGATTAATACAAAACCAGTCCTGTGCTTTGAACAGATGTGTGCATGCAGCCTGTCGGGAGGACTGACGGTATTAGTCCTGACATCCCTCCTCTGCCGTAGCGGCAAAGCCACCGGCAAGGCAAGGCATGCCTGTACTTTCCTGTCCCAAATCACATTTACTTGAAGACAACTGCTCTGGCAATATTGATACAGATTTAAAATACATTTAATTTCAGATTTCCAAAGCTATGAAAGGCCACTGGTGAAAGACAGACTCGGGCCTTACTTGTAACTTCAAGTTTCTTTTTTAATATAGTTATTTAAAATGACTTCAGCA